GGCACTTTCTTAAAAAGTTAGAACAGAGGTTTTTAACCCTGCAGTTTTACTACTACAGATTTTTTTTTAAAAATGCACTCATGTAAATGCTTGTAAAAAAAAAATTTATAGCATTATTCATGATAGCCAAAAAGTCAGTGCAGATGTCCACTAACAAACAAGTGGATAAACAGATGTTCTAATACAGTAGATTATTTGGCATTAAATAAAAATAATATGGATGAACATTGAAAACAGGCCAGAAGCCAGTCATAGAAGTCATGTGAATGGTTCTATTTATATGAAAAGTCTAAACTAGGCAGATATTAGAGATCAAAACTTGGTAAAGGGAATGGGATTTCTGTGGATCTGAATGAGAATGTTCTTGCAAAGTACGCTTACAGAAGAAAGAAAAGGAAACAAGGTTTAAGTACCAAAAGGAATACAATATCATCAAGTCTGAGGGACGGGTGGCAAAAAGCCATAGGAGATGGGAAGTATAGCATATGTTTTCTTGCCTTAAAAACCAAAGAGGGACTGGAGCTGTAGCTCAGAAGCAGAACTTGTACTTAGCATACACAAGGCCCTGGGTTCAGTCCTCAGCACCAAAAATAATAGAAAATTAATTAAAAAAAAAAAAAAAGACTTTTACCTATTGGTTATATACCTTATCTCTTGAGTAGACCATTCTAAGTTAAAATTGTTTTGTTTTTATTAAATACTTACTTTGCAGCAATACCTCAATATATTGAGGGGCACAGAAATACAAAACATTTCTTCCACATAAAGAATTTGTAGTATCAATTACACAGAAGAGTAGCAAGAAGTGTAACATTCATATTCTTGACAAACTTAGTAAATATTCGATGAATAAATGTTGATTGCTTTGCACATGGTCATCTTTCACCCAATAACTTAAGAATTCAGGAGCTTTTTTTTAAAGCCACAATAAAAAGTAGGTGAAAACCGTCCTAAAAATAATTGTTTAAAGCAGAGTTGGTGGGGCAGATTTTGCTGGGATGTAGGGAGGAGTCTATATAACTAATACTTGGCAACTCTACTTTTCTGGATTTCATCTAATGATTTAGAAGCTTAATTTTTGTGTATTAATGACTGCCTTCCCAAAACATTATTGAATTATCCTAAATCTGTTCTAGCCACCAAAGATTTGAATCTAAAACTGAATTTCCTCCATAATAGGTTGAATTTTTCTTGCTTGCATTAGAACTTTTGTTAATTAGTTCTTTCTCAAACCTAAGAGTGTTTCTGCTCAAAACAGTTTTGTGAAACAGGTCTTACATTATTAGAATCATGTTATAGAAGTTCCCAGTGGAGCTAATTAGATCGCACTGTATTTTAAAGTCTAGTTTGCACGTTTGTGTTTCTAGAGAGAGACGACGAAGAAGAAGCAGGAGTGGAACAAGATCTCCTAAAAAGCCTAGGTCTCCTAAAAGAAAATTATCTCGCTCACCATCCCCTAGGAGGTAAAAATGTTAATTGTTTTGATCTGGCCTTTATGATTTTCAGAAGTTCTAAAGATTTTTAAATTGTCTTTGTTTTTTATAACCTATGTATTTTTTTCCTTTTGGGGTATTGAAAGTGTTTGAGAAGGTATCTTATATTCTCTTTATATTCTTGAGTCTTAATCAGATCTCCCCATCTTCTTGCCTGTGGTATCTGTGTACAAATTGATGACTTTATTGTCCAGTTTTGAAATTGGATCTTCGCTGTCCTCTTTTTATCTTGTGGAATTAAAACTTATTGCTCATATTCAAGGGTGAAACTTCTTGTGAGGTTCCTTTAAAGGATCTTTTTTGAGCACATTTTAACTGTCATTTTAGACATAAAAAGGAGAAGAAGAAAGATAAAGACAAAGAAAGAAGCAGAGATGAACGGGAGCGATCAACAAGCAAAAAGAAAAAGAGTAAAGATAAGGAGAAGGACCGGGAAAGAAAATCAGAGAGTGATAAAGATGTAAAAGTATGTATACAAACTGATTTAGTTTGGAATTTGGAGTGGTGTTTATGCTTTCAAGAAATTCTTTTTCTTTGAAGAAACTTACTTTTATTATTCTCCTTGGCAAAGCAGGTTACACGGGATTACGATGAAGAGGAACAGGGGTATGACAGCGAGAAAGAGAAAAAAGAGGAGAAGAAACCAACAGAAACAGGTTCCCCTAAAACAAAAGAATGTTCTGTAGAAAAGGGAACCGGTGATTCACTAAGAGAATCCAAAGTGAATGGGGACGATCATCATGAAGAAGACATGGATATGAGTGACTGAGTACTGCCTCTGTGGGAGTCCAACTGTATACATGCATCAGTGTCATTCCTTTGTGTGATTTATTAATGCTGTATTTGTTCATCTCAATCCTAGATGTATACAGCTGAGTTATAAATGGTTATAAAGCTCCTGATATTGATATTAGTTATTTACATCAAAAAGCTTTTAGAAAATGGTACTTGGGTAACCAGCTCTTGTCGTGGTGAAATCTGATTGAGTAACCAAGCAGTTTTACTATTCTGGTGCTGCTTCATAACAAAAGTGAAAAGCTGCATGCATCTACAGCAGGCATGGATTGTTTATGTTGTATGATCTCCTTTATTACGTAAGTTCACTTATAGTATTTCTAGAATTTGATTCATTGCCGTAATAGAGCCATGTAGGGAATGCACTGATTGCATGTTATTGTGGCAAGAATATCCTAAATGTCATTAAAATCCTCCAACATGATGGATCTACTTATGGTCTTGTTTGTTGACATGACAAATTAACATTCTTAGAGTTACATCTGGAAATGAGCATTTGAAATAGATAATCCTATAAGCCTTGTGGCTCAATTTTTGTGGCTTTTGTTTAACTTTTGAAAGGTTATATATGCACTAACCTTTTTTGATGGCTAATTAGGCTTTAATTACAGAAACAACATTTCAAATAAAACTGTCTTTGGCGGTGAGTAAATAGCAACATTTTGAAGTAGAGTTGTGTACTTTTTCATGGGTATTTGGGAATTTTTTTCCTAACGTAATTTATTCCATATCTACATCAGTGAAAGTTATCCGCCTATCCTGAGTCCATCTGTAAAAGAAAGTTGTATCTTGTCCTGATTTTCAATTTTTCTTTTTGTTTTAAGCTCACTTATGGAAAAAGGGGTAGTGCATTTTAAATTGACCTTCGATGCTTTTAAAATAAGATAGATCTACTTGATAATGTACTTTTATTTGATCTCAAGTTGTACAAAACCAAGAAATTTTGTGTTACTATTACTATAGTAGTAATCTTAATGCACACAGTGATTCCATGTTATATGCAAAGTAGTTAGGCAACTGTTTTCTTAGTTACAGGAGTTTCAGGCTTCACTTTTGTGCAGTAAAAACAAAAGTAGGCTACAGTCTGTGCCATGTTGATGTACAGTTTCTGAAATTGTTTTACAAGACTTTGATAATAAAACCCTTAAACTTATGTTCATGTTCCTGTAAAACTGTATTTGTATTTATTTACATTATTGAATGTAAGACATTTACCTCATTCATTTTACCAATTCTTTCTCTTTCTATCCACATTTAAATACAGTAACAAAATGAAATCCATCACCTTATGCTGGTATTTGCCATCAGAATTGTCAAATAATTGAATTTCTATCTAAAACAGTCTTGATATAACTTTCTCATATTTTGGATATGGGAATGGGGTTGGATTACACCATGAACTTTAGGATAAACAAATGATCCACTTATAATCTAGTAAATTTATATTTTCAGTGAAATAATGTTTGCCTTTTCTGAAATAATATAGAAACTGTCAATGATATGTATGCTGTACAGTACTAAATAGTATATTTATTCGTTTATGAAATTAGGAGTGTTTGGCTAGGATTAAAGAAAGTTGAGACTTGGAGTTGTAGTTTTATCCAAGTTTTCAGTAAAATTGATTTTTTTTAAAAAACTGTTCTAAAAGTTGAAATGCCATATAGAAAAGCAGCATTTTTATAGTTTGTAGTAACTTTTTAAGATTTTATCAGAAATTTGTTTATGGCAAGTATAAGAAATTAGTACTAGAAATGGTCCAAATAATCACTGATTTTTTTTTTTTTTTAGTGCAAATGACATTTTAAATTTAGAAAAAATGTCTAGTAAAGGTTGACCCATGTGATGTGACCATTTTTTATAAGTCAAAAAAACTATACTGGCAGTTTTATGGGGTAAAAAATATTCAAAATCTGTCTCCCCCAATTGTACTCTCTGGATGCAAATATATTCTTTTCTAAAGGGATTTAAAAATGGGGATTTTAAAATAGTGCCACTGACTTAAGATGCTGCAGTGAAGGAAGTTATATTTAGGATATTTTTCAGTAAACATATTCTGCACAAAGGTAGTGTTATACTGGGACACATCATTTTAACAGATGAGGTAACCAGTTGAAATAAAGTGAACACTGCCTCCACACCAAGTTTTGTTCTGTATTTGGTAGTAAAATGATCTAAAAATAAAAGTGGTTTTGTTAGAAAAAAAATGTGTTCTTATTTATTTGCTTAAATTCTGTAGGTAATTAGAGTAGTGTCTGTAGGAGGAGACTTGAAAAGATTAACAGTCTAGTCAAGGGTTTTCCTTATGTGGCCAGCCTGGAGAGAACTGTTGACCTGTGCACATTAGTTGGTTGGGGGGGAATTGTATCGATAATCAATATCAATCAACAGTAGATGCTGTTTATGGTTTTTGAAAAACTATTAATTTAGGCCAGGCACAGTGTAATCTCAGGAGGACCACAGATTCAAGGCCAGCCTGGGCAAATTAGACCCTATCTTAAGTCTATTAAAAATAAAGGGGACTCAGGATGTAGCTCAGGGTAGTTCATTCCCCAGTACTAAAAATGTTATTTAGGTGGTAACGTTAAAGCAAAAACACTAACAGGGGACATATATATGTATTGAGCAAGCTGTGTTACCCTTCTATATTTCCATTATGATGTTAACCATTAAAGATAGAAATGTAAACAGTAAAGGAAAAAGCCAGTACTGTAACAGTAAAAACTAATTTTTAACCTTGGAGCTGCGTCTTACAACTCAGGTTCGCACAGTATTATCAGTAAATCTAGTACTGAATTGGGTAACAGATAAAGATCCATACTGTTTGAAGATTGATGCTCTGGTTTTTTAAACTAGAATTGAGGTTTCTGTCTTTGGTCTCAAAAACTTAAGCATCTCATCCTTAGTTCTAAATCAAGTCCATATTTTGGGTTATAGTTGAATGTGGGTGTAATGGAATTGCTATTGCTATTGGAACTTTGTTTTATAAACATCCAGAATTCATTCATTCATTACTAAGAAGAGTGTTAGCATAGCAGAAGTAATATTTTCCTAAATGTTTTCTTCATACTGATTAATTTTGTATCTGATAAGTGGATTTAGACATTATTAGCAAAGTAATTTAGTCCCTGTGGGAATATTATTAATATTCTCATTGTATAGTATTAGATATTTAGCATTTACAGAACTGAAAATTTGTAAAGGACTTCTTTTGGTTTGTGTTTTGCAGTACTGAGGATCAAACCCAAGACCTCCGGCATGTTAGGCAAGTACTATATCACTAACTCCGTCCCCTGCCACTGACAGAACATTTTTCAATGACTATTTAATAAAGTCTTTATTAAAAAAAATACTGACATCATTTTCAAAATCTGAAGCTCATTGCTGTAGTGCACTATCACTAAAATTGATATGATGCTTCTTGTAAAAGCTAGCTAGAAGCTGGAGCACATACCTGTAATCCCAGCAATTAAGGAGGCTGAGACAAGAGAATGCAGTTTGAGGCCAGTCTCAGCAACAGCAAGATCCTGTCTCAGAGGACAGGATTTAGTCAATGGTAAAGTGCCCCTGGGTTCAGTTCCCAGTACCTAAAAAAAAAGCTAAAGTGATTGGTACATAAGAAATTGAAGGTCTAGGATCACGGAATGTTTCAAGTGTTTACTGTTAAGTTATTCTAAACTATACTCGATTAGAATTTAATGTTCAATTATTTTAAACTGTAGTCAAAGAAGCAAAACTAGTTTTTTGTTATTTTGTGTTTTAACAGGGATGGACCTTGATTGTGTGAGACGATTAAGCAGTCTCAGTAAGGCTTTTGTCTTTGCACCTGATGCTGCAGTTTAAAGTCCACAGGCAGCTGGAAAGTGAAGATTTGTGATTGTAAGAATAAGTTGGAGCTAACCACAAGCACAAACTAAAACCTACAAGGATGGACTGAAACTAGTTAAGTCTTGTTACTTTGTCCTGCAGAAGGCTAGAATTCTTCACCGTAGAGGTCATAAGCACATACAACTGGTTCAAAATTATGAAGAGCTGAAGTAGAATCCATGAGGAGCAGATCAACCACAATATGTATGAAAATATAGCAACTTTGGTAAGGATGTATTTTGTTCATTTTAGAAAACAGCAAAGGCATACTGTATCCACTATTAATCAGAGATATTTCACCCTAAGCATAGGCTATTTTAAAGACTAGCATACAAGCAAGCCTTTGAATTTACCTGAAAATTCTTTCTCCCAAGTTTTTACAAGCACATTGCTTGCCAAAAAAAAAAAAAAAAATGAGGAAAAGGAAGCATCCCTTAATTGTTTACAGACAATATTTATTCCAACCCTTTCATGGCCTCAAAAATGAAACAGTATATTCAGGATATTCATCTGATCTGATACTTAATGAAAACTGGAGAGCTAAACATCATTATTCACCTTCCGCCAAGATGTGAATAATGAGCTGTATGTGCATAACAATGTGAAAACCCACTAATAAGTGTAAATGAAGCTTAATACCAATCTGAGCAAAAGGAAACTGGTTTTTCAGCTTCTGTCAGCTGAGAGACATGTCAATTTCCAAAGCATCATTATGTACTTAAAACCCACAACAATCAGGGAAATCAGCTTTATGTTTCCCTTTTATGAATTTTGAGAATTCTACAAAGGGCATATTGTCTCATTAGAATAATTTTTTAAGGAAATTCTAAATACCACTTAGTGGCAGCAGTATCAGCCATGTCTAAATGTTTATTTGACTGTTTTATGCCCCCAACTCAGTTTATCTAAGTTTTAAAAATCACAAGCAGAAGACAATTTTATAAACCCACATTATAAAATCTTGATTTTTGTGTGAAATTATCAAAATATATGGTGCTGTGATCTATTTTAAAATAGCATACAGCTTGATTCATTAACTGCATTAAGGAGTACATTTTGAAAATCTAATATTGTGAAAAGTTTATTTGCATTATTCTTTTTTCCACCATCATAATAGATATTGACATTTGTTTGTTCTTCACGATCAGAAGACATTTTGGAATGGACAACTTGTTTCTACTATTTCTTAAAGAAAAAGTATTAAATACAAAATCCAAGTGCAAAAGTTTTCAGTAGTCTTCCCACCTCCAGTGTACCCCAGCATAACTGTCACAGCTGTTAGGAAATTGATAAATCCCAAGCTGCAATTTACCATGTCATTTACCATGTCTTTTCTCCTCTCCAATTAGTCTGCACTTATGCAAAAATCTGCAGTATATTCCTGAAAGTATACCAGATTCCTACAAAGTGAGGGAGCCTAAGAGCAACAGTAGTCACTGCAATTTAGAGTCTTAAACCCCATAATAACCAAAGACGGGATATTTCAATCACTTGGTGTACAGCCATTCCCTAAATGTAAGTGATCAACTTCTTTTCAGCAAAGCTAGCTCTCCGGTTACCAATTCTTTTCTCAAAATTCAACAGACCCACATACGATAGTGTTTAGGTCTTTGAATTTTTAACTATGAATGTTTTTCTGCATTATAAAATGTATTTATTAAAAGGTCAATTGGTATGTATGGAAGATGCAATTTTAAAGATGTTTATCATAAAAAATTTTCTTATGGTTGATAACTTTGGATTTTTAAATCAATCATCTCTTCAATAAAGGTCTCTAAACTCATTTCAAATTACCTAAAATTCTGGAAGAAGTTTTAACTACTGGACACTAAAAAACTTGACAGATGCATTCTTGACAAATTCATCAGGACAAACTTTTTTTTAAAAATTAGCTAAGCTCTTTAATACAACATGATACTTTATGACTGTTATACATTAGTCTCCCTAATTTATTTTCATTTTTGGACCTTCAAACCATCTTGGAATAAATACAAGAAATCTTAAGTCAAAAAATGAGTAATGCATGATTTTAACATTTTGGAGACAATTAAAATCAAATATTTTCCTGTGATCAAAAAAAAATAAACAATAGGTATTGTCAATCTTCCATATGCTTCTGGACTTTAGCTTGTAACAAATATATTCTGTTAGCATATAAAATGTTTTTACCTTACTTTGAAAGCATTATATATGTAGGGCTGTCCAAAATATGTGGGTCGTCTTTTAAAATTGACACCAATGATCCACATTCCACTAAAAACAAACAAAATCATCAGACTTATATGTACTTATTAGGAAGCAAGTTTAAAATTTTGGAATTTGTTTAAAGTGCTGAGATTTAGAAGAGGACTATCTATAAGCATGCTAACCGTACCTTATCATGAACATAACAAGGACTCTTAAACTTAAGTTTGGGGGGAAAAAAATAGAAGTTCTATGAAAAGAAGATTAGTAACAAACATTTTCCATTGAAGAAAGAATTCAGGTAAAAACAAATAGCACCACAATGAATTGCACTAAGGTGCTAAAGGAGGTACCATATTCCCTGCAGAGTGAACGCTCCCTCTGAAATGTATTGCAACATATAAATGCAATTGTTTTGTTTAATGGTTACCATTTGGTTCATTCATCTACAGAAAATTGCATTCCTTCTAGTTCATTATACTGAACAAACATTCAATTTACTGAACTATACATAATGTTACATAGTTTACATTTTATGAAAACAAAGCTTGAAGGAATATTTATAAATGTCACCTTGAATATGACAAGTTTTAAAGGGCTTCAACATCTCTTAAGACATTTAATTTATGTTAATGGTCCAGGAGTGTTTTAGATATAGATATATAGATATATTTATATGCATATATATTTCAACAAGTGTAAAAAGTTTTAAAAACAAATCACAGCACTCATAGCTGCTTTACATACGAAGGTCTTAGGGTTAAGGTGTCAAACTATTACACTTATAATAAGTATATTTTTAAAAAGACTGAAAATGGCACATCAGGAAACTTGCTAAAATTCATATTAGAGGCCCATTTCTTTATCATTACTGATGTGTCAATTCAATGTGTAATTCCCTTTTCTTTGTCCCTTCATTTGTCCCTTCTATTTGGATTGACCTCTGGGGTATCTCGTTGTTTTTCCTTGGTTAGATGGCATATTTTCCATGTCAGTTAAAGGTCAGGAAAGCGGCTTGGATCTTCCTTGTAGTCATCAGGTATAGTAAAGATGGAGCCATCAAATTCATCATATCGAAACTCTTGAAAAGTCACAGTGGCTGTGATCGTGGGAAACACAGGTATATCTGTGGAGAGAATAATCAATGATGACAAGTCTATACTTTATAAATTGGACAAACCTAAATATATGTCTAATTCTGAGCATGTGTGTTTTGGGGAATGGTTGGGATAATAATGATGAAGAGAACGACACTGAGATTTGAGAATTTTAAGATCCCATTTCTTCCCAATCTTAAGAACATAATGCCAGACTCCACAAATCTTTTCTTGAGGTAGAGAAATACCTTTCTACTTTGTGCATTCTGACATCTTTTCTTCAGATATAGAACATTTGTTATGTTCACTTCTTGAGCTTATTTATTTTCATTCTTACTAACTTAAGTGAAATACATTATTCACTTTTTGTTTTAACATACTGAGAACAAACATTCTATCACTTAAATAAATATGTGAGCAAAATGTTTCATCAAAGCTGGAGTAATAACATACCACACAGCCTGACTTACAAATACAATATATTTCTGGCTGAAATTAACAGTGAAATCTAACATTAATAATGGGCAAACACAAGCTTACTTAGGGAGACCCTATCTATCCCAAAATTTACAAAGGGTTGGAATTATAGCTCAATAGTAGAGCACCAATGAATTCAATCCTTTGTAACAAAAATAATAATTTAAAATTTTAAAAATATGGACAAGTACATTGTTAACGTCTATAATCCCAGTTACTGGGAAGGTTGAAGCAGGAGGATTACAAGTTTGAGGCCAGCATTGGCTATTAGGGAGACCGTATCCCAAAATTTACATTTCCCAAAATTTACAAAGGGTTGGAGTTATAGCTCAATGGTAGAGCACCAATGAATTCAATCCCTGGTAGCAAAAATAATAATTTAAAATTTTTTAAATATGGACAAATACACTAACTGACTTCTTAGTTTTATTCCTAATTACCAGAAACAGTAAAAATCATTAAAAAATGGGTTTTGATTCTGACAAATCATTTTACTATGAACTTAAAGAGATTTCATCTGTAATACCTGAAACTCCCTTAAAATTCTGAAATAAGTCTATACATGCTAATTCAAGCATCTGGTTAAAGACACATGAGTTAAAAAAAAAAGTTTTCCTCTGGTACTTGGATTGGTACCAATGAGCTACATCTTCAACCCTTTTTATTTTTTATTTTGAGACAGGTCTCACTAAGCTACCCAGTTTGGGCCTCAAATTTGTATTCTCCTGCCTCACTCTCAACTCACTCAGATTACAGGTGTGCACCACAACACCTGGCAAAAGACATATAATAAATTAACTTCTACTGATATAAACCTAGTATTTTTTCTTTGCAGAAATATTCTCATGTTAAAAAAAAACTTGGACAAATAAAAATCAGTATGAGAAGAACTACGAATTTCCAGTTATTTCTGGGGAAAAAATTACTTGTGCCTACCATGTACAGATGCTGTTTTAATACATGGATCAACAAACTGAAGCTCAATGCCTGGGTTATTTTTGTAAGGTTTGTGAGCTTAATAGGATTCACATTGTTAAATTATGGGGGGGGGGAATATTCCTTGAACTGAAAATTACATGAAAGTCAAATTCAATGTCACAAATACTGGGACACAATAGACAAATTCATTTACATATTGTCTCCAGCTGCTTTCTTTCTCTTTAACAAAAGACTTAAGTATGTGACAGAAGCCATATGGGCAGCAAAGCCAAAGTATTTATCATCTTTCAAACAAAGTATTGCTGACCCCCCTTCTCCCCCTGCCCTCCCTGGTTCCAGGCATTGGATATATATCAGTAAACAAGAAACAAAAGCCATGCATTATGGAAATTATACTCTGGTTGGAATAATCAAATAGGTAAAAATTAAGTGTGATAATTATCTACTGAAAATATTAAGCCTGGTGGGAGAACAGTGTCCCAGTGTAAGAATGGTTGTATAAGGTGATCAAAGGAAAACCTCAGTGAAAGGATCTTTCAGCAAAAAACAGATCAGAACAAACCATGCAGTTGCCAAGAGGATGAAAATTCCAAACAGAAGGAACAATAAGTTTTTAAAAAGCCCTAAAAGAAAAGTGTGTGGTTCTGGGAACAGCAGAGGTGGCTGATGTAGTTGCAGCCAACTGAATGAGGGTAGGGGAGAAATAAGTAGTCAAATTAGATGAGG